GGCCCCCCTACTTATATTTTTAATTTGCTGTAGGGCACATGCTCTCACCAGAGAGAGAGAAAGTGAGAAAGCACGCTGCCAGGTTTGGGACTTGAACCACAGTCAGTGATGTGAGAGTCTTATGTCTTAACCACCTCACCACTTGCTAGCTCCTATCTTTACTATTTGTAAGTTGTGCAAAAGAGTTAATATAGCAGGCCTGAGACTCCCATTTTTAGAAAGTCTTGTTTGAGCTGGCTTTATAGTCTAGTGGCTAAGGGAGTTGGATCTTACATGGCCAACCACAATTCAAATCCAGGCTTCAAAGGCTTGAAAAACACAGTGTGTGTGTGTGTGTGTGTGTGTGTGTGTGTGTGTGTGTGTGTTCAAAAACCCAAGAGGAAGGAAAAATGGGGGAGAAGGGACTGCATCCCCACCCCACAGGGGGTGCTTTCTCACTCTCTGTCTCTTTCTCCTTCTGTCAAAAGCATAAGTCAATGTGCCATCTGGCAATTAAAAAAAAAAGAGAAAGAAAGAAAGCAGAGCCAGCAGGTGGCATGATGGTTAAGGTACTGGATTCCCACATGTTCAACCATGGTTGGAGTCCCAGACCCAGGGGCTTGAAAATCATGCCAGGCACATGTGTGTGCATGCCCAAAACCCTAAGAGGAGAATAGAAGAGAAGGGATTGCAGCATGGTCATTTCTCCAGGGGGCGATTTCTCACTTTCCGTCTCTCTCTGTGTCTCCAGCAAGCACACGTGCCCCATAGCAAAAATCTCTTTAAAAAGAAAAAGGAACAGCAGATGATGTAATGATTACATTGCTGGTTTCCCACAAAGTCAACCACAGTTCGAGTCCCAGACTCAGCAGCTTAAAATTCACACCGGGCGCATGTGCATATGTGTCCAAAATCCAAAGAGGAGAATGGAGGAGAAGGGATTGTGGTGTGGCCATTCCCCGGGGAGTGATTTCTCACTTTCTATCTCTCTGTCTCTCTGGTGAATGCGTGCACCCTATACCAAAAATCTCTCTCAATAAAAAAGGTCCTGCTTGTAAGGTTGACCCTCAAACTGGCATCTAGAGAATACTAGAAGTTTCCCCACCGTTCTCTAAATATTAAGTGATTCACTGTGCCTAAATCATTTGCAGAAAAAAATATATGACCTATATGAACATCTGATTTTATTCTAGAAGTCTAGAATACATGCTAAATACAGGGAATCTTCATGACCCAGCCCCCAGTAAAGTTGGGCATTGAGTCTCTTCTAAGCTAGTGGACATTGCAGCTTCTTTCTCTCTCCTGGGTCTGCCTTTCCAGGATGAGAAAGAAGCAAATGCTAAATTAACTTACCTTCTTCCTGATGTCCATCTAGTTTCCACCTACTCCAACGTTTGCATAGCTTCACCATAACTAGCTACGGTTTCTCCTCCTGGGTGCATTATGCCAGAGAAATGTGTCTCTTTCCCACAAGTAAAATAAAATGAGTGCTCTTACTCCTCCGTACTCTCAGTGGCCGCCTATGAAACACTCCCCACTCAGGAGTTGATCAGTTCTCCTTTAATCACCCATTGAATTTAGACCCAGGCCAGCTTATTGATATCACACCAAGGGAGTCATGGTTTGAGAAGATTAGAGTCCCTACCTGCTGTAATAAACTCACAGCTGCCCTCCTCGCCAGGCCTACAGCAGTGCCACCAAAGTTATTCCTTCTACTCCTGTCTCACCCACACACTTGGAAGTAAATAACAGCATCCTCTCCATTCCCTTTGATATCTATCTCTAAAGAATCCATTTGGCTGCAACCAAAAGTAAACCAATGCAACTGTAAATTAAATAATTAAGAATTTATTTTTCTTAAGCAATAAGAAGTCTGGACACAGACAATTCCAGGACTATTGCAGTTGTTCAATGATGCCATCAAGGATCTAGGCTCGTTCCCTTGTTCTACTCCAACACCCATAGCAGGGGAACTTTATTCTTATGCCTGTTGCCTCATGGTCACAAGATGAGTATCACACCTTAAGACCAAGTCTGTCCTAGACAGAAAGAAATGGTAGGGTGAAAGGCAGAAGGCCTGTCATCACATTACAAAGCTTTGCTAGGAGACCCACCCAGAAACTTCTACTTATTATGTAAATCAAGGCCATATGATCACCCCTAGACCAATGCCTGAAGACTGAAAAATGGGTAGAGAGAAGAGAATGGAGAGCAGGAGAGGTGGCTAGCCCATTAGAAGTGGCTGTCACAGCTTCCTTCTCAGCTGTAACATAATTAGAAGGTAGGGCAGGAGTGCAGAAGGATGACTGTAGTCAGGCTGAGCTTGGAGTATGGCCTGCCATTCAGCTACCCTTGTCCACACCTGTTCTGAAGGGAGTCAGTCCTCATTCCCTAAACTGTAAGCTCTCTGGATGGACACTTTCTGTAGCAAAGTGCCACATCGTAACATAAACAGATATCTTTCACCTGCCTTCTGGTGAGTTTAGCATCTAACTCATTCTCTTTCCTTTAGAATTAGCAAAAACGGGGGCCAGCAGATGGTATAATGGTTACATCACTAGACTCCCACATAGTCAACCGCAATTCAAGTCTTGGACCCAGCAGCTTGAAACTCATGCCAGGCGTGTGTGCATGCAAGCCCCAAAATCCCAAGAGGAGAATGGAGAAGGAATTGTAGCATGGTCATCCTCCCAAGGGGTGATTTTTTGCTGTCTGTCTCTCTGGCAAGGGCATGCACTCTATAACAAAAATCTCTCTATAAAAAAAAAAAAAAATTAGCAAAAACATATTCTTTTTTTAAGAATTATTTTATTTAACTTTATTTACTTATTTACTTTAATTTGACCAGAGAGGGGAGGGA